TTCAACCTGCTCAAGTTGCACCAAATTAATTAAATAAATGAATACGGTTTTAGCATTTTCATTAAGGTAATGTACTTGAGACAGGAGTCGAGATCTACCTTTTCAAGTTCAAGCCACATTTCAGGAGAACATCACGGCAACACTTTATTGCTAATCATTCTCATATTTGTTTAGTGGCCATTTAACCAGCAAAATCTGTTACGGGTCAGCAAACTAAACCGCAAGAGTTTTTTATTAGAGAGACTGCATGGGATTGGAAATACCTCTGATAGCTCTACTCAGCCAGGCGGCACCACCGACACCCGCTGCACCAAGGCCGGTCAACCGGCCACGGGGACCCGCATGCAAAAGACAAGCAACTCAATTACTTTCCTTTCTTTTGAATAACGATCGCTGAATAGCTAATCACGCTGGTGATTAGTCTGCAAAATACTTTGCTGAGTTGCATTAAACGGCTAATAAAGAGCACCCTACGCTAACAAGGTTGTGTCAAGGATTTTAGTCTCAATTGCTGCTAATGGCTCTCGACACGTAATACAGTGGCACGGAGTTACTTTTGAAGGCCCTTTAATTTAGTAGGAGCCCCGTGGAACGATGCTCTTGAAAGCATCGCCTTTCAATGATGAGAGGACGTGTTAAGTTATTCATCAGTGGGGCTCTACCAGTGCCGGACCTCGAGAGCCCAAACACAGCACGGACCTCTTAATTTGCCCTGACCAGTGCCGAGAGGGCCCGTTTAATTCAAGTCAATCAACGCGGTGACGTTCTGAAGCGGCTGAGCTTCTTCATGTGTCGCCGGGGTCTGCTGTGCATTAATGCATATTTATAAAGCTGATGATCAATTATTGTATTCATGTTGGAGGAGGAACTGGAGAAGTCCTTGTGGCCCTGCGTATTTAGAAGTCAATGACGAGGGAGAACTGTGTCTTCACTTTTGTGTTGGCCCACTTGAGTCTTTAAGGTTATATAGTGCTTAGTGCCCACCCTCCAGTTATCCCCCTCAAGTTAACACTGTTAGCTGCGGTCCGTTGGCTCAGCCGTCTCCATGTTGAGAGCCACACGGAGGCAAAAGATATGCTATGAAGTCCGTATTGGGCACCTTTAATCTATAGGAAGCCTTGTTTGTCTTCACCCATCACAAAATGTAGCCTATTTTTGGAACCAGTGAGCTTGTAGCTACGAGCAACAGACAAAGTAAGGAAGTATAAAAAGATGTTTTGGTCTTTTCATGGTGTTTTTTGACAAGAACAAAAATATTGAATATTGCTACCTGTATGCTTTAAAATGGTCTGATAAAGAATGAATCACAAAGAGGAGGCCATATTAACATATTTGTAAATGTGTGGTTTTAATATCCTTTCTCTGCTCCTCTCTAGCAGTTCAGTTACTGGACTGCTAATGGACCTTAACTAACGGGAAGTTGAAAGCAGAATATAACAAGCCACTGGAGACATCATGCTGTACTCCGGAGGGCCATTAGCCAAAGTTTCCATTTATTTATCCATACACCAAAAAAAAAAAGAGTGCAGTGGCTTCTTGCTAATTGCCAACAGAAAACTGTTGAGGAAGCTGGGGAGCTGCACCCAAGCAGCAGACTCTCTCGTTGTCCCCGATGGGTTGCGTTCCACTCTGTAATTTTCTGCGATGCGCGCAGTGATGTAGGAGATACCCGCTGTACTGACAGCCGGTCCCTTGCAGACGGAAGAAGTTTGCGCGTCGACATAAGAGATCCTGAGATCCAGAGTGGCGCTGGAGACCGGGCATGTGCAGAGCAACTGCAGTGTCACACGGCGACGCAAGGAGGACATCGGCTTGTGACGGGCAGGAGAGGAGCAGTGAAGACAGCGACTGAGTGACAGTGACTCCTGGAGATGGCTACAGCTGTGAAGGGTGAAAGCGAGGGAGCTTGTTACAGTCTCGCTGTTGGAAAGGCAGACACTGACCGGCCCTGGCTGGCTCTCTGAGCTTTAGATGCTTCCAAACGATACGAGCACACCATTTTGTGGAGCGTAACTGACACCCACGGGGTGCCCTAAGTAAGCCCCAGGGAAGGCTATAGTAAAGCTGAAAACAAAACACTGAAGCAGGTCATATAATGGGCCTCTCATTTTGCGCCTGTCTTTGTCAGGCCCACTGGAGGAAACCTAATTTATTTAATAGCCCGCTGCTTCAATGCCAGGCGTTTGGTGCACGAAAAACAGAAGGTGGCAACGATGAAAGCGTAGCGGGAGAGAGATAGAGGACAAACACTTTCCTCACAGTCGCTGGCGAGATGTGATTTCCAAAGTGAAGATCTGTGTCAGCCATCTGGTGATGGAGAATAGCAGGAAACCATGTCAGCGTGCTATTTTCAATAATGCAGGCGTACATGCTGTCACCACATAACTGACAATTCAAGGGAAGACTTCCGTGAAACGTCAACTTTTTGTTGTGTATTCCATTTGCTTTCTTTTCAGTTCCTATCAATCCATTTATTTTGCTGGAAAGCCAAGATGGAACTGGCTTCAACACAATGTCAGAACAAAACAGAGCTTCACATTTGAAGGGTGCTGTGGTGAGTATTCAGCGTTAAAGCCCTGTGAACAGCGGCACTAGTGTGGCGCTCAAATGTGTCTTTTGGCACATCAGGCTTCAGCCTGGTTCGCAGCATCTATGGCATCTATCAATCCACTTTGTTTCAGAATGAAAACATCTCAACAACTATTGCATGGATTGCCATGCAGTTATGTCCTCTAGCCCCACCACAAGGTTCACATGTGAAGTTTTGAGTGAAATCTTTCACCAACTATTGGATCCGCTTTCATGAAATTTGATACTGATTCATGTCCTTTAAGGATGCATTTGACTGATGTTAGCATTTGGCTCAAAGCACTGTTGCATCAAAACAGCCTCGCAGAACTGCCAGCATGGCAGTAGACCTGGGGTGTCAAATTTGGCCGTAATTCATTTTATCTTCTTTGTTCTCAGTTGTCCTTGCAAGTTCTTGTATTTGTCTGATTCAGAGTCTGATTAGTGGCTCTGAATATGATATTCCTTGAGCAAGCTGGCTTCCCATTTACCTCTGTGAAGAAGTAGAAAACTTGTCCTTTTTTCTTTCAAAACCTGACACACTGTCCACTTTTCTCCTTTTTGACAAAGACATTTTGTTTTTACTGGTGGCTTCTGCATTGACAGTAGGCTTCACCGTGTTGTGTCACATAGCATGTATCTATGCATGTGGGATCTATACTAACATATCCAGCATAGGGCCGCCACTCTTATTGGGCTCTAGAGAGGGGTGGCTAGTTTGCTTTGTAGCTCGTCCATCTCTGGAAGTCTCAGACTGAGCGTTGATCCAGGTCGTCCGCTAGTTAGCTAGCTAGCTTGCTAAGTCTACCATGCATTAATGCTACACTGGTTACAGAAAATGAGCCGAACAAAGCTGCCACTCATCTGGCGATAGCGTTGTCCTTTCAAACGTTGTGACAAGAAGAAGTTGATGAAGCAAGTTGTTAAATTTGACTCATTTAATCTCTCTCTACGCTTCGTAACGTTACTCTACTGCTCGTTTTAGTCGTTACTGCGAAACCTCCCCTCATTGAGCCCGCTGCTTGCAGTAAGTCGGATGAATTTACACAGATATACTTCTTTTCTATTTTTATGATTGGACCTTTTGACACCCCTGCAGTAGACTGGTTTATTCCTGGCCTCTGGCTCTGACCCCCCCCCCCCCTGTTGAAAGGGTTAAGACAATTTCTCCTTCATACGTGATTCCTTATTATATGAAAATATACAACTTCACAGTTGAGTCCACTGCAGACGGCTGCATTTGTTTTCAGCATTGTTTGTATTTGCAGAGATTTAACCTCCATGCCATTCTCGTATGGGTTCAGCTCATCAAGGTTGCCGGCAGCGGTGATATATCACATCTAACGCTGAAAGGGCGAATCAGAATGTGCATTGGCTTTCAGTGAAATGAAAGAGCATTTCCCATTCAACGAAGCATAAGCTGCCGATTGCGTGATTTGGCATTTCTTTCACAGCCGTTGTGGGAGGGGACAAACAATACGAAGACACAGCATCATCCAGAAAAAGCTAGTTTTTGTCAGATATTGTGACATTATCATTATATGATAATAACCCCTCGTGAATAATTTAATAAACTCGCATGGCAGCAGCAGTTTGTAAAAAAAAAAATAATAATCTGGACATATTTTTTCCCCCCAGACACCAGCAATAGGCATGTCATCTTTTTAATGCACGCCAACTCCTTTAATAACAGCAATGCTGGTGAAACTATAGAGCGTCTGGCAGATTCATATACCTCCATCTCCACCGCTCTACTCCCCTCCATCCTTTAATATTATTAAATGCAAATGTTATGTCACCCACTTCACACGGAGATACATCTGTTATTTCATGCATTACTGCGGAGAGCCTCACCACCACATCGTTCTCATTGCAGCACCAGTCACATTGTGTTAATTTACACCCCAGCCTTTCCTCATTGATACGTTATCTTAAAACCATTTCCTTTCCTTGACTGGGAAATTGATTGAGTTTGAGATGCTACCCCATATGAAACAGAAAAAGAGGCATACCTTGCATGGCTTTCCTGAAAACAGGATTATATGTAAATGATGTAATATGGATATCAATCAACATGCAACAGCTTAGAGAGTCCCTTTAAATCATGCAAGACGAAACCAAGAGTGCAGTCGTTAACCGTAGGATTAAAACAGTTTAAAGCTTTCACACTTTCTAAAGAATACGTTAAATGATCATTCTGGTGTATTACAACTTTTATCTTGTTTACTTATTGGGTAATATGTTATCTTACAGCCAAAGCTGCAAAAAGTTGTAATAAACTGGAATTTTTTGAATGAAAGTACACACTGTAATTTATATCCTGTTTTTGTCCAAATTACCATGGCCTGCTCAAACTATATAGATGTAAGGCAAGAACATAAAGGAGCACAAAAATGTATTGAAAATTTAAAAAACTTTTTTTTTAGTTTATTCTAAAAACAGTTCAAGGATACATTAAAGTTAAAGGCATCACAATATATTTTAGAAATAATGTGCTGCACACATTTAGCTAAAGATTACATAACATCAGCTTACAACTTTACAAAAATGTCAAACATTATGGTGAGTGGCCCACCTGTAAATACTGTCCTGTACAATAGTGTACATCATTGACACCACATTCTTTTTATATTTCATATCATAATTCAAACTGTGGTAATTCTCCTGACATTCTTGGAGTTTTCCTCTGATAGACACACCTGCGGTGGTGCCATATTGTGTAGCGACAGGCTGCTGGAGGACACCACATCAGGGACCTGGGACACACACACCATTAAATTTAGGTTTTAGTGACAATACATCAGGACTGTAGAATGACAACAAACAGATATTCCTGTCCTGAAACCTTTCTCCTACAGCAGCAGTGACACTGGGGATACGCAGACGTATCTGAGGACGACTGGAGGACAACTATTGCCTTAAAGTCCTCAAACTTCCACCCTTAGTCCCTCCAGATACGGCAATCCTATTACCGAACTCAAACTCATTACTTCAAAGACAGTGAATCAGAATTGAACTTGTGAACTCAACACAGAGCTCAGAACTGAACTTGTGAACTCAGCACAGAGCCGCTCTACATCAGATGTAATTGGGAAAGAAGGCCACATGCACAAGCACTGAAGGGGAACACTTGTCCCTCCTTCCTCCATTGTTAGATACCAGGACAAATCACAAGATATCAATACAGAATATATTCATAGCGATATCTATTGAATATAAATCTATAAATCTATTCCTCGATTACAAGAAAGGTAGAAAAAAGTTCAGTTTAGTCCATGCCAGCATGTACAACATGATGATGATGTCGCCACATTAGTGCCCTGTGAGCTGAAAAACATAGTGCTGATGACATTGTGTGGCGCTGTGCCAGAAAGCATGTTATTCTAACATCTAGCTGTCTACTGGGAGAACAGGGGAGGTGCAACAGCACAGCAGTTTGTTTCCCATCAACATGGGAGGATGTGACAGAAACTCCAGCTGCAGAATGAATGGCTGCATTATTCAGTTACACTC